CCGATTTGTTTATAATAGAATTGATTCATTGCTGACTTGTTGACTCAATTTTATATTGCATCCTTGGGCTTTGGTAGACCTCTTTTTGACTTGATCTTGAGCTTTAATAAGTGGTAGAAAAATGAAACAATTTGATACTTTCGGGCTCTTATTCATTTATTCTTTATTTCCTATAAATTAAGATAAAAACTTGTTATACTACAATAAAATATAACATCACCGACGGAAAAAAAAAACGTCAACAAAAGTTTAAAAAACATCAAGAAAAATCTTTCCCGACGCAAAATACAGTGTTGCTAACGCATCACCAACAGTGCGTCAAGGAAAATATTTGGCGACGCAAACACACTACGTCGGTAAAGTCAACACTTTTAGAGATGCTTCATACGTCGAGAAAAGTACATCTTATAGTGACGCATAATATTTTGCATCGACAAAAATATGCAGAATTTTTTCATATACAAAAGTGCGTCAGTAAAACTTGTACTTTTGTCGATGCATGCATCATCGGTAAAAACCAATGCGTCGACAAAAGTATAGCTTTTAGCGACGCAAAACTGTTCTTCGCTAAAAATTATACTTTTGGCAACGCAAGTTAGCGTCGGCAAAAGTATAGCTTTTAGCAGCGCAGAATGTAGTGTCGCTAAAAACTATATCTTTGGCGATGCAAGATAGCGTCACTAAAAGTATAATTTTTGGCAACGCATAATTATGCGTTGGTAAAAAGTATACTTTTGTTGATACTATTTTGCATCGCCAAATATAATATCTTTTCTGTCAACTACAAGCCTACACTGAACCTGAACATCCATAAAAAATTTACTCCCATTCACATCAACACTAAAACCAAACGTCAAATTATACTCCAAACAAGTTTTATTTTATGATAAACAAATAATTTGCTTCCATTGCAAAATAGTTACATTCATTTCCATTTCCATGTCAACACTCAAAGACCTATTTAAATATTCCAGTTTGCTTGTAATTCATGAAGGAAAAAAGAAACACAATGGAAAGATAGGAAAATATGAAAGAAAAGAAAGAAGGGAACAACTGTTTAAATATTCCAGTTTACTTGTCAAAATTTTTTAAAATTATTTGAGAAAGGCTACACATTCTATAAAATGTTTTAGGTGTACATATATCATAATCATTAAACCAAAACATACACATGACAAAAATAAATTTTGTGCAGCTTTTGTGAATTGTGCATTTCTTCGTATTTAGAACTTTCGATTTGTAAATCATAAATCATATATGGTTTGATCAGATAATTTAGAATCCTGTTGATTGTATCTAGTTTTTTTGGCTAATGAATGTATTCTAGTTAATATACATGATCACAATCTTCAGTCATGATTTCTAGATTTTAAGAAATTTTAGTTTACAACAGATTTAGTGCACATGTATCAGATCCGTGACTAGATGTGTTCCTGAATTTTATTGGTCATATTATGACTCCCCAGGTTTTGTGCGAGGCTGCAGTCCAAGGCGAAACCCAGAATGTCAAACCTGCCAAGCACCAAACACCGTGCTACGACATGTTTCACCATCACAATTACTATCTCTCTAGTGGAAACAACAAATAGGTGAAGGTACAAACATGCAAATAAAAGAAATAGAGTAAAGCCAGATATACACAGAGGAAGCATGAGAATAATCATCAGTGAGCCTAACAAAAATAGAGTAGAAAACTAGAAATACCTCTGAGTCTGAAATAAACCTCAAGTATAATGAGTCAAATAAAATATCACTATGGCTCTCATCCTCTACAAAATGAAATACAAGTCTAGAGTTTGAACATAAACAACTAACTATGGAGTTCTGAAATAACTACTAAATAGTAAACAGCTAGATGGAATCTATGAGGAAATCCCATCAACCTGCGACTCTCTGTGCGTCTGACTCAGTGCCTGAAAGGGAGGAAAATAACGAGCGTCAAAGCGTTATAGCGAGATCATCTCCACCTCTCCCCAAGGGAAGGGGTAGGAGTAGATAGAAAATAGAGTTTGTACATATACATATGAAATCATTCATAAAATTCTAACTGGAAGTTAATATTTAGGAAATCATAACACGAGAGTTAGTACGTCGAGCGAAGTAATCCAAACAAGGAAACCCTCATGTATATACCATGTCTCAAATTGTGACTCCCTAAATACTAACTCCAAACCCTATGAATGAAAGCAATAAACCAAAAGGAAAGCACTCCAAACCTTAAACATATAGAAAAAATATCTCATCTCAATTACACTCGGGTGGATAGCTCTAACATAAGAGGGATCTCATCCAGAACAAAAAATCAATCATAAGCCATGACATGTAAACCACGATCTTAAAGGAAATACACTACTCGTGGGAAACCAATATGAAAGCAAAATACGACAAATAATACATACATATATGCATCTCCTTATGCAATAGCGATATTTTTGTAATACTCTTACTCAATCGCCCTGCGGAAATAGGTATTATCTCCCTATTTCGGAATTCAATGAAATATGGTATGCTCTTCATATTTATCAACTTAAATTAGGACAAAAAATTATGTTGACACCACATATTCTAAACATACATGCATATATCTCGGTGTGCGTGTCCATAACTGGTGTTCACTGATATCTAAGGTGTTATACAACTCATAAACATTGAATTATAACAATACAAGGTCGAGAGACTAGCTCGAAAACTCAATAGTCGAACAAAACATGCACAGGGTCACTCACTGTGTGGCGGTCGACCACGATGGGTTCCAGAGCCTACTCAGGCCTCTATCCTGCACGCGATCGACCACCGCTATAGCACGGTCGACCGTGGGCTGATATTCCAGATTCTCAATCTGTTTGTGTGTCGTGTTCACGCCGTGTTTAGGTGATTCAAACATGATTAAAATAACATGAAACTTGTATGAAAGCATGTCTATAGTAGATAAAAACTTCTGGAAACAAACTCAACATATATAGCATGATTATTTGCATAAAATTTATATTCAAAAACCTAAGTCATGCTTAAAAACTCAAAATAAAGAACAAATCATCTTTCTTTAAATTAAACCATGTTTTAAATTATTTTCAGATCTTACATACTTCTGTAAATTCGTTCTCAAACTTTTTAACATGAAAAGACCTAGTCTTTATACATATAATATAAAAGAATTGACTTTTATTCATAAACAAGTCAATTTGGCTCTACAAAACATGTTAGAAACTCTTTAAAAACATTTTAAAAACTAGGAGGGGGATTAGCAGGGATGAACTCGCCTGGGGTTTGTAGAAAAACGTTTAAGAAGACAAGCCAAGGAAGATATATAATCCAAATGCCAAAAATCACGTGAAAATCCACTTGAAAGCCTTCAATCTTCTCCAAGAATCAAAATTAGGGTTTAAAGGGGTTTTGGTGGTTGTTAGGGTTCTTAGAAAACTAAAAATATCGTGAATATATGATATATATATATATATATACCAGAAGATGGATATGGGCTTTAGAAAACCAAAACCAACTCAAAACAGGAATCTGACTTTCTGCAGGTTTCGCGGTCGATCGTGATGGTCGACCGGACTGCGGTCGATCACGGCGGTCGACCGGACTGGAATTTTCCAGTTACACATATTTAGCCATTGTGCATGTTTTGACTCTTTTCTTTCTCATGTATGAACTCGTTCATATTCAAAACACATGGTATCATACTCATACCCCATTTAACTATATTTATCAAAATAAATATCCATAAATCATAATTAATCTCATATTAATTATGTTAACATAAATTTTTGGGGTTTACATTCACCCCCTTAAAAGAATTTTGTCCTCGAAATTCTGCAGTCACATCACATAGATTAATAATACGAGAAAAGTACAAAAAGGGGATAGTCCAAACAAGAAAACCCTCACGTACACATCTCGTATCATTAATCTTCCGATTTAAAATATAAGCAACATTTAAACTTAACAATCTAAAATGTGTACATTCTCACTTAACCCCTAATTAGATGGAACTAGTATGTTGGGCAAAGAATCCAAACAAGGAACCCCCATATATATACCATATGTTCCGAATAATTAAGAGCTAAGTGTTGAATGACCCGTTCTAGCGTTAAATATAAATGTAACTAAACAACACATATAATCAAATCTATCAACGCATATAAGCACAATTAAATATCGACCTTACCTATTCAAATAGGTGCGGGTAGCCGTGATGAACATCCTCCTCGCGCTCCCAAGAAATCTCTTCGGCTCCTTGCCGGTTCCATTGAACTTTCACTAATGGAATGACTTTGTTTATAAGTTTTTTATTCTCTCTAGCAAGAATTAATACTAGAATCTCTATTGTAGTCAAATCATCCTCGATCTCAATCTCTAGTGAATCAATCACTCTCTGCTGCTTTTCGTCATGCAAATGCTTCTTGAGCATCGAAATATGAAAGACATTGTGTATGGTCGACATCGATGCTGGAAGGTCTAATCTATAAGAAACAGGTCCAATGTGCTCTATAATCCTGAAGGGACTAACATATTTCGGAGCAAGCTTCCCCCGTCTACTGAATCGCTGAACGCCCTTCATCGGTGATACTTTCAACATAACTAAGTCTCCGACCTGAAATTCTAAGGGTCGTCTCTGACGATCTGCATAACTCTTTTGCTGACTCTGTACAGTAAGAATGCGCTCCCGAATCAATACCACCTTTTTCGTGGTCTGCCTAACTAGCTCCAGGTCAAGTAATAGACTATCCTCTGGCTGTGCCCAACATATAGGTGATCTGCAAGGCCTCCCGTACAAGGCTTCATACGGCGCTATCCCGATGGTAGCTTGATAACTATTATTATATGCAAATTCAATCAATGAGATGTGATCCTCCCAGCCACTACAACAAAGCTGTTTTTTTATAGTGTTGAATGATAGCGTTTATGTTGTAAGTGCTATAGATCGTATGTGCCTTATTTTTTGAGTTTAAAAAATTTTAAATGCTATAAGTAGTTGATCGTAATTTTTTTTGTTCTGACGCGTTGAAAAGTTAAGCGGGAGACTGAAAATTAAAACAAGCGCCCCAAATTATATCGATCCCTCTCCTATCAAATCCCTGTTCCTTTTCCTCTAGTCAAAATCTCAAACCATAGTTTTTCCCCCTTTTTTTCTTTTTTTGGGAATCAGGGAGAAGTGCTGAGCGGTCTGAACGATCTCGTGATGATGAACCCTAGCCGATCGACTCTAGGTGACCGCACCGCTGTGTACCCCTGCGCTCCGCTGGATCTCGAGGTGGTTAAGGGCAACATCAGATCCATGGAATGGGACGAGTGCCCCATCGGATCGATCCTGGCCGTCGGATCCGTCGTGGCCGTGCCGTCGGATCTCTACAAAGCTCACTTCCTGTTTCTGATTTCTTTATTATTATTATTTGGTGCTTAATGTTTTTTACTGGATTTTTTAATCATTTAATTTGGGTTTGTTTTGATCTGAGATGTGCCGATGGGAGAGGCAATTGTGTGAGGAAGACATGAGATAGGGCTTGGGGCTGAATCATATGGTAATTTCTTAAAGACACTTAGTTTTTTTTCTTTGTGATTGAAATTATTGGGTTGCTTGTAAATCCAATTGATGTCTGAAATTTATTATGGTGAGTAACAAAGTTTGGGGTTTGCATTGCAATACGAATAAACACAGTACTAGATCTCATTGGTGTGAACTTGAAATAGAATCAATTTAATGCTAGAGTTTTGGTTCTTGAGCTTCGTCTTGTTTCAATCAATTAATGATATCGTTTAGGATTTTGTCATGTGAAATCATTTTTCCCTTTGCTAATCTTCTTATTTTCTAGCCTACTGGATGTGGGGAGATGTTATCTGTTCATTTATTTTACGTTATGAGGGATTTATGGATTCTTTAAAATTTATGCTTTGGGTGTGTTTACTGGTTATAAGAGATTTAAAGATGCAAAGTTCATGTTTTTGATGTCCTCTTTGAGATCCAATGATGTAAGTTTTGCTCAATCAACGATGAAAATTTGGGTTTTCTTGATTTATAGAATTTTTATCTTTTTATAACCGTAGAGTTTTGTATCTCTTTTTTTTTGTTATGACATATCTCTCTATCTCATAACCTCTGCTCATGTTCATTCAAAGACATATTACTTTGTATTTAGCTGACATTGGTCAAAGCTTGCTATGTCTTATTTGTGGGCTATATATCACGAGCTTTCTTATTGTACAAAATGGAATCACATAATTTTCAGCATGTTATAGGAAACTTGGATTACAGTGCAGGTCATATTAATCAGATTCTCTCTTTAAACGATTTCAATATGATACCACTTCTAAAAATGCTAGAAGTTGTGTCGCATGCCTTTGTTATGTATAATTGTATTTGTGAAGCAAATTTGATGTTCCCATTTCTACTTATTGGCATGCTATAACTATTTATTTCTGTCGTTTAGCTTTTGCTGCTGTTAAGTAATTTAAAAATCAAAAGTTCTGCCCTGGTGCAGTATGAAGGAAATGGATAAAATACTGCAAATATAAATCCTTTTTGCATATAGTTTTTAGCTCACAATACATGACTTTCTTGACTAATTGTCATTTAGTACTGAAAATTGTTTCTAGCAAATTTCTATATATTGTACAATGTGCAAATCTTCTGAGATTATTTTAGAAGAATGCTTAGAGCATGCATACAGTGATATCTGATAAAATTACATATATGAGCACAAAATATGTCGAGCGTCTGGGTATTCTGTGGTTTCTCCTTTTGATATTATAGTTGTAACCTCTCAATAATGCAGGTTGGGATCTTGGATGCTGAAGGATACTCGGTTAATATTCCCTGGAGCTGTGAGGGTGTGGGGGATAATGAATACATTTTTGCCTTCCAAAACATTATACTTCCCATATGTACTGTCTTGTACTTGTTGAAGACCCTCTTATTCTTCAGTTACCTATTTGATGATGCCTGTTCTTGGATGTTCCCCTTAATTGCCTTTGGTTTTCCTTAAAAGACTAATGATTGCATGTCCTAATGTTCATCTCTATTTCCTTTCTCTGCTTTTGCCTTTTGTTTTATGCTGGTTATCCTTATGTTTATACTGCTCTCTTGTGCTTCGCCTCAACCATTTATTACTAATGTGATTTGATGTTCCCCTTAACTGACTTTGGTTTTTCTTAAAAGACTAATGATTGCATGTCCTAATGTTCATCTCTATTTCCTTTCTCTGCTTTTGCCTTTTGTTTTATGCTGGTTATCCTTATGTTTATACTGCTCTCTTGTGCTTCACCTCAACCATTTATTACTAATGTGATTGGTTTAATTGCAGCCTCCGAATTTGCACTTGATATCACTATTATATCAGCAGTATTTGATGCAGCAAGAGGTGATCCACTTGGCTGTTATGATGTAAGGATTGCATTATCGGTTTTCTTTTACTTGTTAGATATGGAATAACTTATTTCCTTAATTTTATTTCCAATTCCTCTATTAAGCATGTGGATGACATCTATAATTCCAGCACCTTTATATATTCGATTCGATTATGGGTTTTCATGTGCTCAAACAATATGGTTCGAATTAACCATGCTATGTACATTGATCGATATGATTGTTAATTAGAAGGCGCAAAAAGAGCTTTGAACTCGTGATTTAATAGTTAAGCTGAATGATAACATATATGACTTAATTCTCATCATATAGCTGGTGATTCAAAGTGTCTTCTGCGCTAGGTAACCCCTGCTGGATATGCACAGATGACACACATGTTGACTTCTCTTTCCTAGGCAAAGTTGCTCGTTTGTACTTGATGGAGGGTAGGCACTTCCCCTGCCATCCCTTTTCATTTATTTTATTTGGCATATTTAGGCCATGTATCCGTTGTCACTAGTTTATCCCTCTCTTCTTTGTTGTTTGCAGTTACAATCTTCAATCAATATCTTCTTCAACTACAGCAGTAGTTAAGGTATTTTTTTTGTTTTTTGTTGCATGATGCATCAGATTCCATTCTCATTGTCATATGTTAGTAATGAATAAGATTTTAGTTCTTGCAGTTCTCAATTTTGTCTCTCTTAGAAGTGCTTGATTTATGATGTCTTCTGACCTCCTGTTAGCTTTATGAATGAAGTAAAGCAATTGTTTTAGTAATGATTATTGTTCACCATATAAAGATTCAAAATTGAAGGCATTAGCAGGAATAGCAGTAGGAACATGATCAGGTAATGATATCAGGAGAGTTCTTTGTAGGAAACTAAGGCCCAGCTTGATAAATGGGGTTAAGTTGTAGTGGTCTATGTTTCTAGAATGGGAGTTAACAGGCATTACCAATTTGGAATTTTTTGGGTGTTTGGATAATTGGGTTAGAGCGTAGGACTTACCGATTTGCATATCTATCTTTCATTTTCCATGCATATTGTTCAATTCTTGATGTGTATGAAAATTACAAAATATACATCCCTCATATTGTTAATTAAAAGCAATGTTGTATAGATTCTTGTTGTCATGTATCTTTGAAGTCGCATATTGGTTAAATCCTCTCTAGGGGCCTAGCTTTTTACCATTCTTTTTACATATCTTCAGTATAAAAAATGGAATCTGAAGACCTCATGTAACTTGCATGTGGAGGATGACTATTAACTATTAGCAAATCATTTTCAGGACAATCCAATCTATTCCTCTACCTCTCTCCGCTGACAGCCGCCCACTGTCCCCTTCCCTATTTTAAGTTAAGATTACGGTGACGGTAAATACTCTCATGGTAAAATTTTTAGCTTCCATTTAATTGATCTCTTCATTCTCCTTTTCACGTTAAAAAAATCATGTTACTGCCCTAAATATTTTGTTCCAATTCCTGCATTTTCTGTTGTTTATATTTTGATTGTTGATTTCTGTTTTTAGTCCAAACCTTCATGACTCTAGGATTTCTAATTATTGGTGGTGTTGTTTTTTGTTTTGTGTCCATATATTCATGGCTCTAGGATCTCATTATTGGTGTTGTTAATTTCTATTTTTGCAACAATACTAGTACTCAATTGCTGAAGATGATGAGTCTCTCAAGTCATATGTAATGCAGCAAAGTTAGTTTTTGTTGTTCTGTGTACTATGGTTAATTTCTTGTACTCCATGTTGGATTATCCAAAGACTAGTATTTGTTTTTTGGCACATTTGTGTTGAACTTTTTGATTGCTACAACTTGGTTATGTATCAGTTTGAACCTTTAAATGAAATATTTGCTTTTATAGTTGTCATAATTGGAAGCTATTTCTAGTTCAACCTCAAAGGTTTATAGGCACAACTGAACTGCTATAAGAAGTGAAAACAATTACTGAAATGCTATTAAAAGAAGAAAGACAACATTCACTGAAACGCCATTGTAGTAACTCAAACGCTATCAAATGTAAGACAATAGCAACGTTGAAATGCTATGAATGAAAACTAACTAATAGCTTTTTGGCACATTTGTGTTGAACTTTTTGATTGCTACAACTTGGTTATGTATCAGTTTGAACCTTTAAATGAAATATTTGCTTTTATAGTTGTCATAATTGGAAGCTATTTCTAGTTCAACCTCAAAGGTTTATAGGCACAACTGAACTGCTATAAGAAGTGGAAACAATTGTTGAAATACTATTAGAAGAAGAAAGACAGCATTCGCTGAAACGCCATTGTAGTAACTCAAACGCTATCAAATGTAAGACAATACTAGTGTTGAAATGCTATGAATGAAAACTAACTAATAGCATTTTTCAACTGCTATGAAAGATATTTGTCATAGCAATACATAAACGCTATTGAATACCCCTTTTATAGCTACATAAAAACGCTATGCTTGGAACCTTTTTGATAGTGTTTGGGGAAACGCTATGTAAAGCCACAGACCTACTATAGCAGGTTCTAACACAGCGCTGATTAAAACGCTATGAAATAATACCATAGTGTTTTTCGCCGCTATAGATGATTTCAGGTGGTGTAGTGAGTTACCCTGAAAATCTATAACACAAGCTCTCAGCATATTCTCCAATACCTGATTCACCCTCTTGGTCTGACCATCTGTCTGGGGATGAAATACACTGCTAAATAATAACTGGCTGCCAAAAGCATCATGAACACTCCTCCAGAAATAGGATGTAAAGATTGATACTCGATCTGATACAATCATCTTCGAAACTCCATGCAACCTGACAATCACTCGAATAAAAATCCTCGCATAGGTGTCCGCCGTATAAGTCGTCATCACAGGTAAGAAATGCGCTGACTTTGTCAATCTGTCTACTATCACCTATTTGGGGAGAAAGTTGATTGATTTATTGCTGTGTTCATTACAACTTCAAACGTTACAATAAAAACAAAAGTTAGTCTTTTTATAAGACCTTTACACAATGAAAACAAAAGAAAGTACAACTCTCGTCAAACAGCGCAACGGGTGTTTATCACCCGCTGCTTGCGTATGATCTTAGCCTGTGATGGGGATGTTGATATCCGTGGACCACCAAACGATCAGATCAGATCCAGAGCTTCGTTGATTCACGAAGGAATCAAAAAACCGAAGCAGTTATCTCGGCAATAGCTAGATAACCACTCTTCTCGAGATCACCGTAACGGGGCGATCTCAAGGAAAAGAACTAGGCTGCAGATCTATCGAACTCTTCTTCTTTATGCCGAAGAATTCGCTGAAGTCTCCTCCTCCTCTTTGAAATTCGTGCTTCTTCAGTCTTTAATTCAGCAGGGCTTCGCCGACGCTCGAGAATTCTAAATCTAAAAAATGAAGGCCCTGGGGCTGTATTTATAGGCTTCAGGAGCCTTGTGTTCGGATAAGAACGATCGATTCACTCTTATCTTTAGTTATAACCACTTAACCACATTTTTGGATGATATCAGATCAATTAAAACAAATCCATGCGGTTAACGATCACAAAACAGCTTAAAACCGCCAAATCAGCATTTTTGGGTTGCGGACACCCGTGGGTGTCTCATAAAATCATATTTTATTATAATTTTATACCCTCATTGTCTATTTATATGAATAAATATGTCATTAATACTTGTTTTTATCTTTAATTGCAGGTTAATGAAGAATAAAGCCCAAGATCTCTTCTTTCAACAAAAACCATGAATTAAATGAAGAACACAAGCAAGAGCCAAAAATCCCAAGCCTAGAATCAAGCCGAGTAGCCTATAGAAGTCGGAGAAAATAAAAAAAATCAAATATGAAAAAAAAATATATTCAAGATAGTTGGCCGTAAAGAAAGGACGATATCTCTCAATCCAGAAGGCGGTATTTAACATATAATATATGAAAATCACATATCTCGACGAGAAGAAGCCATCCGTGAAGGCAAAAATTTGATAGGAGATCGATGCTAGCATCGATGCGGGCATCGATGCCAGCATCGATGCTGGCATCGATGCCAGCATCGATGCTTACAGATCAATGGCTGATTTTTGATGGTTTTGGATAAGGATTCAATCCAAGGGCTCTCATTCATTGATGTTTTATTATAAATAGGGGTAGATAGTGAGGGGTTAGGGATGTGAAAATTTTTATAACTCCATTTGAAGAGGAGGGTCACTCTTAATTGAGAAGGCCTTCCAAATTAGTAACTTTTATTATAATTAATAAAATAATTTTTTTCACCACTTTAAATATTTCTTCTCTTTGTTAGATAATGAAGATGGAGATGAATAATTATTTGGAGGTTTGCATTTATTTTATTTTTCTCTTTTATTTTATTTTATTACTTATTAGTTTAGATTTATTTCTATGCTTGAAGTTAGATTTTATTTTCTTGTTAAATAGCCAAGAGGCTAGAACCCTCTTGCCTTAGATTTATTTCATGCTTATAGGTTAGATTTATTTTCTTGTGTTTAATTCTTACAATTTATTTTATAGTTTAGATTTTATAATTTTTTTGTAGTTAGATTTTAATTTCTTGTACTATTCACCTTGAGGCTAGAACCCTCTTGGGTTTAGTTTTTCTTTTTGTTTATTTTTATTTTTTTGTATTCGCCTTGAGACTAGAACCCTCTAGAGAATTACAATTTTATTTTTTTACACTATTCACCTTGAGGCTAGAACCTTCTTGGGTTTAGTTTTTCATTTTGTTCATTTTTATTTTCTTTGATTCGCCTTTAGGCTAAAACTCTCTAGGGAATCACTCTTTTCTAAGAAGTGGATTCAATTCTAGATTATCCATATCTTTAATTGAATTCGCCATCTTTAATTTCTTGAATATTCTTTTTATTCTTAATTCTCCTTTTTGATTCTTGATTTTATTCATCTTTTCTTGTGAAAATCATTCATTCTTTGTCACATCCACTCTCACTTACATTTCGTGTCGATTTACACACTATCACTTCCACTATCTCTCTCTCCACAACCATATTCACTCATCACTCCTAATTGTCACGCACACAACATAAAAACGAATTCTAATTTTCTCCTACAAAACTCCTTTCTCGTGGGGTCGATAACTTTCTATACTATAACTTGATTGGTTGTGTAGTTATAATTTTTGGTACATAATTATGCCGCATCAAGTTTTTGGCACTGTTGCCGGGGAAGGTGCTTAAGTTGGATTTTATGTAATTTAGTTCTTTAACTTGTGTGTTTTTTGTGAAGGAACCTCTTGGAGCTTGAAGATCACAGATTGGAGATCTAGAACTTGAATATTTTGCTTTTGGGTAACTCTTCTTTCTAGAATTTTCAATTCCACCCTTTAGCTACTTCTTCACAATTAGAGACAATTACGACTTATAAAAAAAGATTTTATTTTTTTGTCAACCATAATAAAATCCACCCTCCACTTTGATATTTACTAACAAGATAATAAATTCAGACAAACTTCCCCCTTTTCATTTGTTTGATTGTTAACCCTAATTAAAAAAAGATTTTTATTTTTACCATCATTTTTAGTTGCTTTTAATTCATAGGGTTGCATTGCATATAGTTAGTAGGAATTCACCAAAGTGATTTAGGCATCTTGATTTGGTACACACTTAAAAATATTTTTAAGGGCAAAACCCCATAATCAAGATAAGGTGAGGGATTTCTTCACCCTTTCCTTAGCCCAAAAATCACCAATTCCTCACTACACCACCCAAGCCTAATAAAACTCATTAGACGTTGGCCCTAAGGATTCGAGCTCAATAAGGAACAAAAAATCCTTAAGTGAATCGGTTTAAGTTTTCTTGGATTAGTTGGTGTCTAAGGTAATGTTTAGGGGTTGCGTAAAGTGCGCCGCAAGGACCAATGTACTTAATTAATCTCTGATCACCCTCTAGTACTATCCTTACCTGGCTGATCCGCAAGGAACGATGTACTTTAGGAGTTTTTGGTTAGGAGCTAGTATAGTTGAGTTAGGCTAAACCCTAGAGTTAGAGAGATTAAAAAGTGATTGCTTTTGATTTGTTTTAGTTAGGATTTTCTTTTTTCTTCTCATAAAAAAACTAATTTTTTTCTCCTTAATAAAAATTGTTTTGGGTGTATGCAAACGTGGATTAGGGATAATACACATCGATTAATTCGCTTTGAACCAATCATAGAAATGACATATCCTAATCCACCCGTCTTTCAAGATATATGCTATCCTATTAGGAATAAAATTCCCTTGCATTAGTCTCCCCCAGGCAAATGGAACTAACTTTGAGCTTCGACCGTACTATATCAACATGCTTCCAAAATTTCTAGGGAATGAAACTGAAGATGCATATATTTTTATCTCAGAATTTGGAAGTATGTATGATGATTAAAATGAGAGAATTAACTGAAGATACAGTCAAACTCAGATTTATTCCTTTTGCCCTCAAAGACAAAGCAAAAAAATGGCTATACAGCTTACCCATAAATTTCATCACAACTTAGGAGGAATTTATCACCATTTTTCTTCAAAAAAATTTCTCGATCCATAAAATGGTGAAGCTAAGAAATAGCATCATGAATTTTAAAATTGTCCCGGGAGAACCTTTTTGGAAGTATTTTGACCGATTTAAAGATCTCCTCATCCAATATCCTCATCATAGTTTAGAAAAATGGCGATTGTGCCAAATAATTTATGAAGGATTAGATTGTTCTATAAAAACTTTCTTAGAGTCAATGTGCCACGGGGATTTCATGAGGAAAAACGCTGATGAAGCTTGGGAGTTTTAAGAGAGTCTTTCAGAGAAAACCATGCAATGGGAACATTGTGATGATAGGGTTTCGTCAGTTTCCCAACCTAAATCTAGTGGTCTTTCCATAGAGTCGAACATTGCCTCCGAAGCAAAGATGGCGACAATTCTGCGAAGGTTAGAAGCCTTAGAAATTAAGGAACGAGCTCTAGCTCAAATTAATCAAGTTTTTTCCCCAGGTTGTCATAATTGTCAGTCTCCTGCCTATGTTTTAGAGGAATACCCTCTCCTAGGAAACACCCATTTGTTAGAACAGATGAACGCTGCATTCCAATGTCCAATGAATGATCCATTTTCGTCAACCTAAAATCCAGGTTGGAGAAATCATCATAATTTCGCATGGAATCAAGGAAGTCTCCAAAGGAATCAAAATTTCAATCCCACTTCAAACCAACACTTTACTAGGGGGAACACAGTTCATTTTAATTCTCATCCACAATTTCAACAACCCAATCTGCCATATCAAAATCAGTCTTCTCATCAAGCTGTAATTCAGACTCCTCACAATCCAGATCAGGATAAACGTCTCAATGTCTTAGAAAAGGGTTTGGAAACCATAATTAAGGCCTCCACTCAAACTACGAATATGTTGACTCAAACGTTCAGCACTCTGAATTCCTTTATGCAATCAACCGGACAAATGCTCAACTCCAACACTCAAGCTATAGCTAGATTAGAATCCCAACTTAGTCAACTAGCTAGTGCCGTGAGTGAAAGAGAGAAAGGAAAATTTCCGAGTCAACCCGTGGTCAACCCTAAAGACACAGGATGCAGTTCATCCTATGAAGCTCAAGTGAATGCAATCCATTCACTTCGGTCAGGTAGACAGGTCGATAATCAAGTGAGAACTCCGCCAAGTCAAACTCTTGATCCTGTACAAATTCCTTCTCCTTCTCCTTCTGATGAATCTATTCAACAATCACTCCCCTCAGATGACCAAGAACCTGAACCCGAACCTGAGCCTGCTTTTGATAGATTTAGACCGGTTGCTCCCTTTCCAGATAGACTCAGGTCTAGGAAACACTCTCCTCAGGAGGAGAAAATCCTAGAGACATTCAAGCAGGTTAAGGTCTCAAAACATCAAAATTCAAGTATCTCATATTTTCATGTTTTGGACTATTTTGTAAAATGATGATATTCAAGTATCAGTTCATTGTAGAATGTTTATTATCATGTCTACAATCATTCCCCAAAGTTTTACATTTTTTGGAATTTATTTGATATTTTAAACAGTGTTTCAAAATCAGATATACAGCCTTCAAATCCTGTTTTCTATGTATCAGTATTCGGTCGACCGAACCGGTCGACCGATCATTTGATCTTTCATCACTGGGCGACAGAGAGTCTGTCGGTCGACCGGTCCGGTCGACCGAAAGCTCCATCGGTCGACCGCACCGGTCGACCGACGATTGTCCTGAGCTAATCTTTGTGTTTTTGCTCTCCATCGGTCGACCGACAGAATTTCCGGTCGACCGACAATAGATCCGTTGGACTTCAACGGCTATTTCTCTGAGCTTTTTGCTGGGGCTGTTTTTTGTCTTTTGTTTGGGCTTCTTGACTGAGATTTCAAGTGGGTATATATACCCTATTGCTGCTCTCTTTCAAGGTTGCCAAGAAGTTTTTAAACAAGGGTTTTAAAAAAGAGTTTAAGCTAGTTTAAGCTTGTTTAAGGGTTTGGTTTAAAGCAATTTTAGCTTTCACAAGTGGAGGAGATTATCTTATTGTTTTAAGCTTGTTTAAGGGTTTGGTTTAAAGCAATTTTAGCTTTCACAAGTGGAGGAGATTATCTTATTGTTTGGGCCTCAAATCTCCATCTCTCCATAAGCAATTTTAGCTTTCACAAGTGGAGGAGATTATCTTATTGTTTGGGCCTCAAATCTCCATCTCTCCAGCTTGATCTAGATAAGTTTTCCTAAACTCAACTCTAGCTTTTACTTATAATCATTTGTTAATTATCAATTCTATTAAAGCTAGTTTTATATTGAGTTTAGATTTGATTTTATTTTACTCATTGTTACACACACCCACATTGAGCTTTTAGTATTTACATACATAGTATAGTTGGGTGGTGAGAGATTGTAACTTTGAGTTGTGCTTTCATTGTGTTCTCATCCATAGTTGAGAACAATCATTTGTTATATTGTGCTTATTGTGAGATTCACTTTGTAATACACTTGTACACCGAGTGAGGAGTGTGTGGTGAGAGTCGGGGATCGTCCCAAGAGGAGTGGCGTCGGTTGACGAGCCTAGGAAGAGGTTGTAACCGAGCACTTGAGGGAGACACGGCTAGGTCCAACACTTAGTGGGTGTAGAGTGTGATTGCAAGAGTGTGAGTTATAGAGTTTTCGGTTAGCTAGAAAACCGAGTGTGTAGAAGAAGTTCCGGCTTCCAAACCGGATTGTGTTAGTGGATTTCTCCCCGGGAGTGGGGAGCGGAGACGTAGGACGGAAGGTCCGAACTCCGTGATCATATTTCTTGTTTGAGTTTGTCTTTGGCGTATTTGTTTTTGCATTCATCTTATATCGCCAATTGTGCATTGCTCATTTATTTCATCCACTATCTTGTTTAGATTGTTTACCCTTATGTTAGTTTATATATATCCTTGCATATATATTTCATCATATAGGATATATCTCATTGTTTACATTGCTTATCCTAGCTCATATATTTTGTTATATTTCATACTTGCTAGGATAACTTCTTAATTAATTTTAATTGACATTTAATCGGATTAGATTAGCATAAGACCCTAATCACCCCCCCTCTAGGGTCTAACAGGTCAACTAGTGAGTGCCGTGGGTGAAAGAGAGAAAGGAAAATTTCCGAGTCAACCCGTGGTCAACCCTAAGGACACAAGATGCAGTTCATCCTATGAAGCTCAAGTGAATGCAATCCATTCATTTCGGTCAGGTAGACAGGTACTCACATTGATAAGGCGCTTTTAGACTTAGGAGCCAGTTTTAATTTGCTTCCATATTCAGTCTACCAGCAATGGGGTCTAGGTGTACCAAACCCAACTCGTTGTACTTTACAGTTAGCTGATAGATCTATCAAGGTCCCTATGGGTGAGTTAAAGAATGTTCTGATTAAAGTTGGAGATTTCATTTTTTCAGTAGATTTTGTAGTCTTGGAAACACAGCCCGTTTCTAATCCCAAAGGACAGACACATGTCATCTTAAGACGACCATTCTTAACAACTTCTATTGCTCTCATCAACTGTAGAACTGGTCAAATGAAGCTATCCTTTGGGAATTTGACTGTTGACCTTAACATTTTCAATCCAGAGGACTAACCAAATAATCAGCCTCTGGAAATAAATTACATTCAGGAAAGATTAGAAGAAGAAGAAGAGTCTGATTTGAGTTTTGAGGAAATTTTTGATGAAGAGTTGGAGTTTTTAGAAGAAGCAGATCAGGTCATTGAGAATGATGAAACTGTGTTAAATATTTGCTGCCTTGAATTAAATTTTAAAGAATTATTTCTTGATGAACTTAGATTCTTGGAGAATAATCAACAACCAAATTTTCAGAACTCAACCATGAATCTTGGGGTTGAGGAAAATGCTATAGAAGAATTGGTTGTTAGAAAACAAAAATTCACAGTACAAGAATCTGAGTTTATTAAGAAATGTAAAATACATGACACCAATAATACATACCTTACTTTGTTGCAAGAATTATTAAACACCCCGAAATGCTTGGAATTTCACATTATTGATTATATCATTCTGAATTTGTTTAAAATCTAGGGAAGAATTTTTAACAGTAAGGTAGGATTCAATGTAGAATACGAGCTCTTCATGTTGAACCATTCATTCTATATTGTTTGTTTTGTTTTGTTTTAGAATAATAAAAAAAATTTATTCTTCTCTCATTCGAGAGTTTCTTATTCAATTGTAAAAAAAAGAGAAAAAAAGAAAAAAAAGAATAATTTTTTTTTCATCCTCCTCAGACCAAAGATAATTGTAGATTTTTATCAGCCAACCAAATATAAGTACTTCACTTCTTATCTGCTTTACTTTGTGCATCATAGAGTTTACATTAAGGACAATGCAAAATTTAGGTGTGGGGGTGAAAATTAGTTATTTTTTTCTTTCTTTTACCTTTTTAGTTGCATTTTTTTCATTTTCCTTAAAAAAATTATAAAAATATTATCACTTGCCAAATTGATAGAGTTATGTAATAATTGATTTATTTGATAATTTTTAAAATTTTCTAATCCCTAGTTTGTTATTTACTCAAGTTCAACTTTTATGATAACTCTAAATAAATTTCTTAAGAAATGATTTTCAAAGTAGTATACTTTACTTAAGCCTTAACTTAGATTTTTATTTAAAATAATAGAATTTATGTTTGCTTAGCTTAGAGTTGAAAATAATTTTTCAAAGTATCTTAATTTACATATTTTTAGAATATATATACATATACATATTGAAAATAATAATAATAATAACATTACAAAAGAAGAGTGCGAAAAATGGGCACCAAAAGAAAGAAAAAAAAGAAAAAAAAACTCTTGAATTCAAGGTGATTCTATCTTATAAAGCCTAAGCTGACCGAGTAATTAAGCCCAATGAGTATTTCCATACTTAATGATCTAAGCCTAATTGGATTGGGATCTATTAGCTCAAAACTCATTAAATGGTCACTTAGAAAGTCAGTTAAAGTAAAAAAATCATCAAGGAAGAAAGAGTTAAAAATAATAAAAAATACTAATAAATGTTTTATATATATAGTTATATTTGTATATATGGTCTTGAAAATATTTTAGATCAAACAACTTGAAAATTATTTAAAACAAAGAGTTAGCATATTCTTTTCAAAACTTTTAAATTAAATTTCTAAGTTTGGCTTGATTTTGTATTACTATAATGAGAATATTTTCTTGGAAATATACCTTAGAGTTATATATAAAAACGTTTTCTTGAGTGATAACTAGATTCAATTTGATTGTCTAAAGTTATCAAGTGAATTTAGTTATTTACTAACTTCTTTAATTTAACAAGTTGATCGAATTTTGTGGGTATATTCACTGCAAACCCTCACGAGACTACAACTCGTCCACTAAGGTAACCTAGGGGTTTAAAGGCTTGTTGTATGCACTAAATACAACCACGATTTCTACGAAAGTGAGTTGGGTTTCCTTTCCTTTTTCTTTCTTTACTAGAGGACTAGCAAAAGTTTAGGTGTGGCAGTATTTGATAATCATATTTTATTATAATTTTATACCCTCATTATCTATTTTATATAAATAAATATGCCATTAATAATTGTTTTTATCTTTAATTGTAAGTTAATGAAGAATAAAGCCCAAGATCTCTTCTCTCAACAAAAACCCATGAATTAAATGAAGAACACAAGCAAGAGCCAAAAAGCCCAAGCCTAGAATCAGACCGAGTAGCCTGTAGAAGCCGGAGAAAATAAAAAAAATCAAATATGAAAAAAAAATGTATTCAAGATAGTTGGCCTCGCAAAGAAACGATAATATCTCTAAATCCGAAAGGCGAAATTTAACATATAATATATAAAAATCACCTATCTCGATGATACAAAGCCATCCATGAAGGAAGAAATTTGATAGGACATCGATGCTAGCATCGATGCGGGCATCGATACTTACAGTTCTGTTACAGATTAATGGCTGATTTTTGATGGTTTTGGATAACGATTCAATCCAAGGGCTCTTATTCATTGATGTTTACTATAAATAGGGGTAGAGAGTGAGGGGTTAAGGGTGTAAAAATTTTTATAACTCCATTTGGAGAGGAGGACAACTCTTAATTGAGAAGGCCATCCAAATTTGTATTTTTTATTATAATTAATAAAATAATTTTTTTGCACCACTTTAAATATTTCTTCTCTTTGTTAGATGATGAAGATGGAGATGAAGAATTATTTGGAGGTTTGCATTTCTTTTATTTTTCTCTTTTATTTCTTTTTTATTGCTTATTAGTTTAGATTTATTTCTATGCTTGTAGTTAGATTTTATTTTCTTGTTAAATAGCCAAGAGGCTAGAACCCTCTTGCGTTAGATTTATTTCACGCTTATAGGTTAGATTTATTTTCTTGTATTTAATTCTTACAATTTATTTTATAGTTTAGATTTATAATTTATTTTATAGTTAGATTTTAATTTCTTGCACTATTCACCTTCAGGCTAGAACCTTTTTTGGTTTAGTTTTTATTTTTGTTTATTTTTATTTTCTTTGATTCGCCTTGAGGCTAAAACCCTCTAGGGAATTACCATTTTATTTTCTTATACTATTCACCTTGAGGCTAGAACCCTCTTGGGTTTAATTTTTCTCTTTGTTCATTTTTATTTTCTTTGATTTGCCTTCAGGCTAGAACCCTCTAGGGAATCACCCTTTTCTAAGAAGTGGATTAAATTCTAGATTTCCCATATCTTTAATTGAATCCGCCATCTTTAATTTCTTGAATTTTCTTTTTATTCTTAATTCTCCTTTTTGATTCTTGATTTTATTCATCTTTTCTTGTGAAAATCATTCATTCTTTGTCACATCCACTCTCGATTTTATTCATCTTTTCTTGTGAAAATCATTCATTCTTTGTCACATCCACTCTCACTTACATTTCGTGCCGATTTTACACACTATCACTTCTACTATCTCTATCTCTCCACATCCGCATTTACTCATCACTTCTACTTGTCACGCACACAACATAAAAACTGATTCTAATTTTCTCCTACAAAACACATTCCTCGTTGGATCGATAACTTTCTATACTATAACTTAATTGGTTGTGCACTTGTAATTTTTGGTATATGTTTATGTCGCATCAGTCTCGGCCTGGCCGAGACACCTTGGGGTTTCTCGACGAGGCCCAGAACGTAGTTTCGCGCGCTCTGTCCGTTTTCACTGTATTTTCGTTGTCCAAACTCAGAATTATGTGATTCAAAGTGCGTTGTAAAGCCGACGAGGAGATCTACGAGCTTCCATGATTGAATCACATATGGAGTAAATGAGACCTGAGGGGTACTTCGTCTTTTGTAAGCGACGCTCAGCTCCCGATCAGTTCGTGTTTAGTTATTCTGAAGTTCCGTTGCTTCACACGGTTTGTCGACTCACTTCATGCATTTGTCATCGTCAAATGAGCTTCTATGACTTGAATAGTTATGTTCATCATCTTCTCTCTGTCTTGAGCCGCGTGCGGGGACCCATAGGTAATTTTTGATGCCTACAGATACCCCCTCCAAAGTGTTTTAGTCTCGTTTCTTTTATAGATAAGCCTAAAATACTTTAGATATGATTGGTCCAACCTTCAGTCGGTGTAAAAGGACCTGTAGTTAGCTTTGATTCTTGACTCCTTCGATTTTTAGTCACCTTCAGTCGGTGTAAAAGGACCTGTAGTTAGCTTTGATTCTTGACTCCTTCGATTTTTAGTCTATTCGATATTTTGACGAAGGACCTGTAGTTAGCTTTGATTCTTGACTCCTTCGATTTTTAGTCTATTCGATATTTTGACGAATAGATGAAGTTCTCCCGGTGCTGCGTTTATCGTCTGGCCATCGTCGAAGTCTTGAATCAAAAACTGGTGAGTTGATTTTAGCTCGTGTCATCGAGTTGACTTAGAACTAACTATCTCTGTCACAATATATTGACTTAGGGCTATGCGTTGAACGGCATTGACTTTTCATCATAACGCGTTGATTGTCGTTGACCTAGGGTTACGCGTTGATCGGCGTTGACTTTAGGGTTTCGGATCACCTGGTGTTGACTTTTCATCGTAACACGTTGACTGATGTTGACCTAAGGTTACGCGTTGATCGGCGTTGACCTTAGGGTTTTGGATCGCTTGGCGTTGACTTTTTATCACAGCGTGTTGCCTAGCATTGACCTAGAGTTATGCGTTGACCAGCGTTGACCGGCGTTGACCTTAGGATTTTGGATCGCCCGGCGTTGACTTAATTTATACTCGTACGTTTGTTGGAGTATACACAGTTTAAGCTCTTAAGGTATTTGAGCATGGCGGTCCTAAATTTTAGGCTACTGGACCAACTGTTAAAGTTGTTTCGTATGCAGATATGGATCTTATCCCGAATTTGTTGGACGCTCCAGTCACGAGACCAACTAATGGGGCTAGTGCGTCAATGACTCTTGTATATATAGGATTTTTGGCAAACCCTCAGCCATCAACGGGTTTGATGAGCCTTTACCGACTACCATTTGACAGTTTATACTCATACGTTTGCTAGAGTTTACATAGTTTAAGCTTTTAAGATATTGGAGCATTACGGTTCCAACAGTTAGGGCTGCAAGACCAACTGTTAAAGCTGATTCGTCTGCAGATATGGATCTTATCCCAAAGTTGTTGGATGCTCCAGTTACGAGACCAACTAATGAGGCTAGTGCGTCAATGACTCTTGTATATATAGGATTTTTGGCAAACCCTCAGCCATCAACGGGTTTGATGAGCCTTTACCGACTACCATTTGAGTCGGGCTAGCGTGCAAATTGTTTAAGTCCGTTCTGCACGTAACGTTGTGCTAAGAGAGTTAACTCTCTTAGTGCTATGATATTGAATACGTAGACTTCGTCTTTCTCACATGAAAATACTAAATGGCGGCGCGTGTTAGGCATAGACTTTAGGATTTTTGGTAAATCATCAGCCTTTAACGGGTTTGATGTATCTTTACCGATTACCGTTTGTATCGGGCTAGCATGTGAATTGTTTAAACCCGTTTTCACATGTAACATTGTGCTAAGAGAGTTAACTCTCTTAGTGCTATGATATTGAATATGTAGGCTTCATCTTTCTTACGAGAATAGACTACCCGGCAATACGTGTTAGGCGCTGACTTATCCCTTCTTAGGATTCGCGATGAAAGTCCCCAAACTTGAATTCTAGTATCTTCTTTAATCGGTGAAAGACTAAACCGGTAACACATGTTAGGCGCTGACTTATCCCTACTTAGAATTCGGTATAAAATTCCCTGTACGTGTGAGGCACGGATTATGATGTTATTAATAACAATCTGCCACAATGTCGAATATGTGGGCTTTTATCCTTTTTACGGTTAAAGACTAACCGGCAACACGTGTTAGGCACTGACTTATCCCTATTTAGGCTTTGGAATAAAATTTCCCAGACTTGGATTCTGGTGTCTTCTTCAATCGCTGAAAGACTAAACTGACAACGTATGTTAGGCACTGATTTATTCCTACTTAGGATTTGGGATAAAATTCCCCGTGCGTGTGAAGCACGGATTTTGGAGTTGAAGGATGGTGTCTTCTCTTGGGGCAATGACGAACCCAAAATGGGAGAGGAAGAATTTTATATTCTATCTCCCAAAATCAAAGAGGAAGAATTTTATATTCTATCTCCAGTTGCAAAGGAGACTCAAAGTGGGATCTCCACCTCAAAAATTGAAGAGTGAAACTAAGAGTGGGATCTCCACTCTGAGAATTGAAAAGATTCGGATAATCCTAACTGTCGGAAGGTTTGATTACCGAGCTAAAGGTTGATTTCTCATTTATCGATAGTGAATTATGGTTTTAGCCCTAACTGTAGGAATGTTTGACCAAGCAGGAGTTTGAGATGACCCTAACTGTAGGAAGGTTTGATCATTCGATTTGAAAGTGGACCTCTCGTAATGGAAGGAATCGAGAGGAGATTTTGGCTTTGGTTTTGGTCCTAACTATAGGAAGGTTTGACCAAATGAACAGTGAGAGTAGGAGTACAAATTATAATGGGAGTGTTGATTCGTACAAATCACTCGAAGAGAGTTCCTGGTGTTAAGTGACAAATACTTAACACGAATGGGTTTGACAATTGTCAATGATCAGGAGACTAAAATTCTGAGTACTATGTCAGGACTTTAACAGTGGGAGTTTAGTATTTATCACTTTGTTTGTAATGACTGGGTTATCCCTAAGAATATTACATGTAACATTCTTCCGGGAACTTCCCGTTACATGAATCATCCATCCCCAACTTCTTTTGCGAAACTGGGTCTAACATTATACTTAGTTGGATGATCAAGCTATCCTTAATAATACCAGACATGGCACTCTTTAGGAACTTCCCGTAAAAGAAAGGAAACAGTTTAGACTCATATATCTGTTGGAGTATGCATGAAGCAGTTTAACCTCATATACCTGTTGGAGGATTGAGAAGCAGTTTATACTCGTATACTCTTCGGAATGTCAGAAGGAGAAGTTTATACTCTTATACTTGTTGGAGTCTTCATTCGACTTAATTGAGCGTTATGACGCCGGCTTCAACCAAGGTTTGGATGCTATTCTTGAGAGTGAAACAAACCTTGGTAGGGTGAAGATCCTCTCGTGGTACGCACAGTACTTCGGATCCGTAGTATTATCAGTTTCCTCCTGATCTGTGATAGGTGATAACTTGATCTTGTTATTTTTAAGGAGGGACTCGAAAATGGCTGGAACGTCTTTGTCCTTAAAGGAGTACTCCTTTTGGAGTCTCGGATCCGAAGTCTTTTGCTGTCTTTGGGGTTGTTGTTATGACGTTTGATTAACATCAATAACTGCTGCAGGCGCATTCCCCTTACCATGAGAGACAAAGCTTGAAATTGAGGGTTAGCTGTCGGTTGGCTTCTCTCGGCTTTCTTCCTTCTGAGAAAGTGCTCGACCTGCTCTTCACGCACTTTTAACTCTTTTCAAGTGCTGGACGGTGCTACTCCCATAACTTCCAAGACGTCCAAAGAGAGGTTGTTATGACAGGTTTGGAGGACGAAGTCCTCTGTAATCAGATCTCGGTAGTTCATCGTCTTATTCCGGAAGCGCTTGACGAAGTCGTCGACCGTCTCGTCATATTCCTGTTTCTCATCGTAGAGTGTCTTGATTGATACCTCGGCATCATCATCAAAAATATGAGTAAGGAACATGTTCTCCAGGTTGTCCCAGCTGTTGATGC